CTGCTTGGGTTCTCTCATAGCAAATCAGAAGTTCACACTCTCCCTTGTAGTGGACAGCCTTCAAGTACACCCACATGCCACATGATAATGTTTTGGTCAGTGATGGTCCACATATATGATATTGATCTCACACGATAGTATCGCCTGTTGATATAGGAGCCAACTTAGCCTCTGTAAGTATACTCTGTGATGCCCCCCAAAGACAGATTTCCTATGGGCACATTTTTCAGTCCTTATCCTGAGCGTTAAATGATGCATGACTGTGTGAGAAGATTCTGTTCAAATTAAAAGTCCCCATAATTTTGGCCCAAATTCAACTCATAGTTTGCATTTCCTATCTCTGCTGACCACCTGGTCTAGACATGCTGCATGCAGTTAGGCAGATTTCATCCTCTTTTTTTTTTTTTTTTACATTTTTTATACTAATTAGTTACACGTGACAGTAGAATACATTTTACATAAATGGAGTATAAGTTCTCTTTCTTCTGGTTGTACATGAGGTAGATTTACACTGGTCATATAATCATATCTGCATATAGGGTAATAATGTCCCATTCATTCTACTGTCAATCCTACCCTCATGACCCTTCCCCTTCCTTCACTCCTCTCTGTCTAGTCCAAAATACCTCTATTCTCCACACACCCCCTTATTGGGAATTAGCATCTGCATATCAGAGAAAACATTTGACCTTTGGTTCTTTGGGATTGGCTTATTTCACTTAGCATAATATTCTTCAGCTCCATCCATTTACCAGCAAATGTCATAATTTCATTCTTTTTAAGGCTGAGTGATATTCCATGTATATATACCATGGTTTCTTTATCCATTCATCTGTTGAAGAGCAACTATGTTGGTTCCATAGTTTAGCTATTGTGAGTTGAGCTGCTATAAACATTAATGTGTCTGCGTCACTGTAGTATGCTGATTTTCCTTTGGCTATAAACCTAGGAGTGGGATGACTGGGTCAAATGGTGGTTCCATTCCAAGTTTTCCGAGGTATCTCCTGACTGCTTTCTAGAGTGGTTCCACCAATTTTCAGTCCCACCAGCAATGTATGAGTTTCCCCATACCCTTGCCAACCTTTATTGTTGCTTGTGTTCTTTGATAGCAGGCACAGTCCATATTAATATATGTGATTACCTTGTTTTAAAATGGAGTAATACGTGCAGATTTTGTTTGAAATGTACCTTCACCTCTACAACTTTTTTCCTTCTATGGATATAGTCTGATGCAACAATAATGATAGTTATACTGGGGAGATAACAGAGTGAATCATTGTGCTTTGCAAATACCACTTTTAGCATAAGGTGACATGTAGGATCACTACAGTACAGTTTGTTGGGCAGATTCTGATTAAATGGGTGTCGTATTTCTTAGTACTGAAACACTCAGGGTCACTCCTGAGTTTACTGGGCTGCAGGAAATAACCACACAAGCGACAGAGATGCCTTTTTCTTTGGTCCTGTGACAGCTTTTCTGACCTTAGGGGTCTGTGGAGGGGTGAGCCATTCAAATGAGACAAGGGGTCAGGTTTCAGGGCATTGAGTCTAGCTTGTGGTGTCTGCTGTCAGCAGATTGACTGATATCTAGGAAGGCCACACCCAGAGGCAGAGCAAGAGAAGGGGACACACAGAGGGCATTTTCGTTGACCATTCTATTCCAAACAGGGCAAAGGTGTAGTATAATAAAGGAATAGCTGAGTATAGCTCCTGAAGACATACCTTCTACTTCTTGGGCTGGGGCAATGCCCAAGTCACCAAGTGATTGTTCAGAGCCTCTTGGTTCAGGATGGAAGGCATGGGTCATTCAGAGTAGCTCCCCACAAATGGAAATGACAATGTTTTCACTAGAGTACTTTAAAATTTCAAAATATCTGTTTGGAGAAAGTAGCCTAGGAGTCACTGGTAAGAAGGGCCAGCAGGGAGCACATTACAGTGAGCCTATACTGTGTAGACAGACCTGAATTGGGCGTCTCTCTTGGGAATCTAGAGGCAGAAGAAAATGCGACATTGGTGCAGGTACAAAGCTGTCAGATGCAGCTTCGGCTCCAGTCTCTGCAGGGATGGGATGTGCCCATGCTTCCCTCCTCTCAGGTGGGCTTTGTGTCCTTTGGTTTCATTGACTTCTTCTGACATTAAGGTAGTTTAAATGTTTGTTTTTACTACGAGTTCAAGAAAACTATGCTATACTGCTGTCATTTCTTCTACCAACTGCAAACAGGACAAGAAGTTAAAAATCAGAGGACAGGCTAGAGCCCCACTGCTCCACTCCTACCCTCTCAGGTAGTGAATCCTTGTTGTGGGAATAAAAGTGACAATGGTGACAGAAACCACATGTCCAACCCTCCAGAGGACATTTATCGGAGTGTTTTTCTGTTTCAGGTAGAAGATGGAAGCCACACTTGGATGTCCAGGAAGCCATGTGGTGAAGAGGGGCAGAGCCAGAACTCCTGGACCCCACCCAGTTCTCGCTTCCCACCTTCCGTAGCCCAGATCTGGGAGGCTGCTTCAGTCTGGTTTCTGCACTGTGACCTCTAATTGCCATGTCTCCTCAGGTACCAATTCTGTCCTTTCTGCTCAGGGACAGCCTTGCCCAGCTGTTCTCCTTCTCTGTGGCTTGGAGACTCCTCATCTGGCCAGTGAGCTGTTCTTTGTCTGGTCTGGCTTTTCTCAGCAATTTAAATTTCTAAATATTGACATTTCTTATCTTTTTTCCCTCTTTTTGAATTTGTTTCAGAGAGGACAGTAAGTCTGGACCCTGTGAATTCCATGTTGGGTAGAAGTGGCAAAAGTTCACCTTTGGCACTCATTCTTTTCCCCTAGGGTTTCACTAGTTCTTTGGATCATGATGGGACTTATCAAGGTACAGGGGCATTGACTTACTAAATTACAAGTGAAGGTGAAAGGAGAAGACTCAGCCCATGTGAGCCTGCCAAGGCAGAGGTAGGCAGAGCTTCCTTGGAAGCCTTCTATTCACATGGACCCCAAGGCTGAGCAAGGGGTTGTCACTCACCAGGATTGCAGCCTGGTTCAGAGGGTCCCTCTCATTGGAGGACTCAAGACCTGCTACAGCCCTTCCTTCTAAGGCCCTGATCATACCTCACCTCCCCACAAAAGTATTTCTTCTTTATTTCCTACTGTAGTGATTTTGATTTCTTTGGGATCCCTATTGCCTTATCCAACCAGAAGTTTCCAAAACTAAAATTATAACAGTGAAAACATTGTCATTCCCATTTAATCAGAATCTGTGAGGCTAGGCCCAAGCACCTGTGCTGTAGTGTTCCTCTATGCGACTTTATGCTGAAAGGCTGGTACTTGCAAAGCATTTCTGTTCACTCTGCCATCTCTCTAGTATAACTGTCATTGTTGTATCAGACAGCATCCATCGGAGAAAAAGGGAAGTGGAGAGGTAACAGTGGATTCTAGGCAAAACCTAAGAATTTACTCTAGTTTGGATAAGATATCAACATATAGTGAGACCAGCACTGCCTACTTGTAGCCAAAATAATCAAGGCTTTTCACGGTTTACAACAGAAAATTTAGCTGCAACAGAATTTTGATACTTTTGCATAGTCATGAATCACTTCAATATTAGATAAGGTGTTAGCAAATGTCATTGTGGGAAACCAAGAGTACAGTTACTAAGAAGCTAAGATAGCTCTGATATTCTGGGAAATATAATCTTATGGGACCACAAATGGAGGCATGGGCTGTCCCTGACTGAAACATCATGTGGCACGTGAGTGCATTAGAAAGCTGTCCACTAGAAGAGTGTGTGAACTTCTTGGTTGTTATGGGTGGACCCAACCAGCTCTGTTGGTCACAGTTATCATGAATGGAAACTGGGTAAACAGAGCATCCTGGCAGTGGTCTTCTACTGTGATAGGACCTGCTTCCTGACCAGCAGTACCTTTCACATCAGGGAGAGACTTAGAGGGTAGCTCAGGCCTGTGAGGAAGAAGCCAAGGAACATGCAGGTCTCTTGGAAGGCCTCTGGGATCTCATCCAACTGAGAACATTTACTATTGCCTAATATAGTGGATACTTACTCTGCCAGCAGGTTAGATGAACTAAGTTCACTTCATTCATATTTGGTATGGGTAGATTAGAGTCAGGGAAGAGATCAAAATATAAAACAAACAGATATGCCTATATATAAGGTCTAACAGTGTATTAAAAGAAAGACTTTATAGCCCAAATGTGGAAGCAATCCAAAGCCTGTCAATGGATGAATGGATGAATGGACAAAAGATAGAGTCTATCCTCAAATTCAACTAGTAGCCCTAAAAAGGAAATGCTGGCACATTTCCACCAATATAGGAGCTTAAGGTCGGTGCACAAATCAGCCAGACATAGGAACAAATACTCTTGAGTTCACACTATGCAAGACAGACGAGGCACCAAGAATTGTTAAATTCATACAAAGTAGAATGAGGGTCGGCAGGAGCTATGGGAAGAGAAGTAGGGAGTTTCTGTTTCAAGGCTACAAAACCTTGTAGGGGTGATCAAAAAAAAAAAGCTCTAGAGAAAGGAATGTGGTAGTGACTGCACAAGGAAAACTTACAGTCACGCTTCACATGACAAAATTTTAGCCAATGATGGACCAATACATCACATATATGAATGGGCTCCATCACATGATATTCCACAGTGATGTCACAACCATAGGTGTAAGCGCACTGTATGCTGTGAGTGCACAATGATGAGATCAACTAAACACATCTGGGAAGAAACCTCCCTCATAAGAGACACATGGTCGTACTTAATGTTGCTGAATTCTACACTTCACAATGGTCACATATTTTGTTTGGAATATATATTTATTCACAAATTTTGCTGAGAGAGAGACAAAGCATGACTTGGTTACAAAGGTAGAAAGCAGAGGCCTAAATTAGGAGGTTGGTGAGCAACTCACCAGTTCCTTCAGGTACCATGCACTTTCCCCAGGAGAAAACAATGTCTAGAATTACAGAAGTTTCCTTTTTTTTTTTTTTTTTTTTTTTTTTGTATATGTGACATTTTTCTTTAAGGTACATAGTGGTAGTGAAATATGTGTGTCACAACCCATGCTTGGAATTCCAAATTTGCTAAGCAAGTGAGATTAATTGGAATTGAGAGGCAGACTTTTAGTTGACATATAAACTCCCCAAATTATAGATACCGTGTGAAGAGTATGTGAGTACATGCAGTTTTGTATTTTAGATCCTCAAAATGTCTCCCAAACTCAAGGATGGCTTACAATGTGTCCTCAAGACAGATTCCTGAAGACAGTAAAAGCCAGTGACATTTAGTAGAATAGCTTTGAAAACCACGGGTTTTCATTTTTCAGCTGACAATTCAATGTACCTGGTCTTTTGTGTATATTTATTATTTTCCTTTTGAGAGGACTTATCATTTCTGTTCTCCTTAAGTTTCCTTGACATTCTTCTCCCTCTTGTCCAGACTGAGCTCTGAAATGGTAATGTGCAGAGAGGAAGGGACAGACTCCAGAGGCCCTTGGCACACAGGGGACAAGTCTCTCCTCAGGACTGATCACTGCTGATTTCTCCTCTATCTGGAGAGGTGCATGTTCAACCAGATTGCAGAAGGGTTTGCAAAGATCAGAGTCTAGGTTTTGTGGAAGAGAAGCAAGTTTGGGAGAACTCACGACCACTTGTCAACTGTCTGCCAAGACTGAGGACCAGAATTCCCAGCTTAGCACCTCAGGGTACTGCCTGGAGGTAGTGGTGGATGACAAAGTTACAGGACCATCCGATGAGGGAGCTGGAGCGAGAACAGATTTGAGACCGTGACTGGCATGGAAGAAAGGATAGAGAAGTCAGGAAAGGTGGACTAAGGAAGCCCAGTTTGGAAGAAGGACAGGACAGGATGTGGGTCAAAGAAGTCCACGTGGAAGGTCAATCTTCAGAGAGAGGAACTGGGTTTGGAGATATGATCCAAACAGAGGAAAGGGTTAGAGGGGATGTAAGCAGGGTCACTCCCCCCAAAAGAGAAAGTTTGTATAATGTGGATAAGTTTTTAAAAACGGGGAGATGGGACCATGGAAAGGGAAATCAGGGGCAGATGGTTATCAACAAAGGCAAAATGTGCTGAGGAGAAAGGAAGAGTTGACTGGTTTGGGTTTTCTGGTGGTGGATTAGGCTTAGTGGTGAAAGGCTGAATTCTAAACAGCACCTTTACTTGGGTTTCTTTACTCAGCCCCACCTGCTGCCTCAGTCTTCCAGCCAGAAGAGGCAAATGGGTGATCATTGGAATTCAAAGAAGATGAATGGATATGCCAGAGTTTTCTGACTCGACCCAGAGTGTAGAACCCAGGATTCAGCCTGTCTTCTGTCCAGAAAAGAAAAGAGGTGCCATCTTCAGATTCAGAAGTGGAGGTAGAAATTGTCAGGGTTTTGACTTGACCTGGAAGGCAGGACTCCCAGCCTTCATACTGTCCTCTGTCCAAAAGAGGAAAGAGGAGTCGTCATCTGATTCTGAGGAGGAGATGGAAGTGGAGTTGTCAGTTTTGTGACTCCACTGAGGGGGTAGATCCCAGTCTTCAGAACTAGTCCTCTATCCTGAAGGGGAAAGGGAAGCAGTCATCAGATCCAGAGAAGCTGGAAGTGGATCTGTCCAAGTTTTCTGACTCCATACAGAGGGTAGAACTTGGGCTTCAACTTCAGTGCTCTGGCCAGAAGAAGAGGAAGTGGTCATCAGATTCTGAGGAGGATCTAGAGGATCTGGACCTTGAGCCTAAGTACCTCTGGGTTGTGGAGACACTGTGGCCTGAAGACGAAGCTGAAGAGACAGCGTGTGTACTCAGTGCTACCAGAGCACCATGAAGTCTTCACCAGGCTGGTAGGCAGGGAGACCTCATTTAGTTCCTTCCAGAGCTTTTTACACGAAACAGGAGCAGGCATATGGGGAGACAGTTGGGGGTTAGGGTAGGGATCAGGCACCTGAGCTCCTGGGTCATGATGCTGATATGTTAGTGATGTTTGTGTCATGGTTAAGTTCCAATGGAATAACTGGCAGGGACCACGGTGTGAATTAACTCTAGAGTGCTATTTTCCAGGTATGTTCTGCTCCACCAGCAGAATTACCTCAAGTCCTTGCTATGAAGCAGAACTCTGGGCCTGACCTTGGGTGTATGAAATGATTTTTGGAGTAGGGATCAATAAAGTCTGAGGATCAGAACCAAAAATAAGGGCTGGGGTTGTGGCTCAGTGATAGAGTACTCGCCTGGCATTTGTGAGGCACTGGGTTTGATCCTCAGCACCACATAAAAATAAAATAAACATATTGTGTCCATCTACAACTTAAAAAAAAATAGAACTGAAAATGATGGTTCAGGGTGTCAAGAATAAAGGTTGAGATAAAATTGGGATTCTAAATTGGTCTAAGAACTTACTCACCTTCATGTCTGAGAATTGCATCCATGAAGTCAAACAACCTCTCCTCTTTCTTCCAGATCACTGGGTGAGGAATGTGGTGCATTTTCAGCAGGATATCTCAGGGGACACTGAGAGAGGCATGAGAAAAAGGGGCCTCTTGGACAGATAATCCAGGATCACCCAGAGCCACATAGTTACCGTGTCATACTCATGGGAGCTGGGAGTACACGAGTCCATGAAGGAATGATGAGAAACCAGGGTTCTTTCTCATTCCATTCATTCCTCAGACATCCCTAAATTTTAGTGTCCTGAATTCAGCTTTTCCCCTGTGGTATTGATATCAAGGTCCTTTTTTATACATATTTAGGTGCCACGGTATTGGACCATTTGAAGGTGTCATGTAGTGACTAAGAATGAAATGGAATTACTTTCAAAACATTTGAACCAGAGGACTAGCGTAGATAATTTTACTACATATCATGAATTTCATTGGTTTATTTTGAACAAGTTGGCCATAAAATTATTACTGTCTTTTAATAGTTTTGAGACAGTTGTTATTTTGAAAACATGCTGTTCCTAATAAATTTTCTAATGGGTGTTAAGAGTTTTTTTTATAGGTACATAGATATTTTCACTTCTAAGAGAGATTTTCATCTTTTCAGCTATCATACTTATGTATCTACTATGTTTCCAGATCAGTGGTAATACCCCAAATTCTGAACAATATAAATATTAATGTTTAATCCTCATTATTGAGTTGTGAACATTGAGCTGCCATTCTTTAATGAGCCTTGACCCTTGACACATCTGTCATTTTAAGTTTTTTTTTTTAAAGAGAGAGAGAGAAAGAGATTTTTTTAATATTTATTTTTTTTTAAGTTCTCTGCGGACACAACATCTTTGTTTGTATGTGGTGCTGCGGATCGAACCTGGGCCGCATGCATGCCAGGCGAGCGTGCTACCACTTGAGCCACATCCCCAGCCCATATATCTGTCATTTTAAAGAGAGTGTAGGGGCTGGGGCTGCACGTTCAGTGGTAGAGCACCTGCCTTGCATGTGTGAGGCCCTGGGTTTTGATCTTCAGCACCACATAAAAATGAATAAATAAAGATATTGTGTCCATCTACAACTAAATAAATATATTTTTGTAAAAAAAAGAGAGTGTGTATTTTAACAGTTCATGCACTGGGCTGGAGATATAGCTCAGTTGGTTAGAGTGCTTGCCTTGCATGCACAAGGCCTTGGGTTCAATCCCCAGCACCACCCAAAAAAAAAAAAAAGTTCATGTGGTATGTGCTTTGAAAGAACATAGCATATTTCTTGGGGAAAATTAATAAAGATGAATGTCTTTGCATTTTATGATGTATGGGATCATGTCAGTCTAGACTGCTTCTTTGCTGTCAAATGACACTGTTATATCACAGGGTTCCAGGTAATTGACCAAATTTTTTTCTTGTGGAAAAAAAAATCTTCAAGTGCTTTTCATGTTGGAAAACAACAGAGAAGGTGGCAGATCCTAAGCTGGAGATAGAAGCAGGAAACATAGGACATTGAGGGAGGCAACTCTGGAGTAGTACAAAGAAGAAAGAAAACTCTAAGGGAACTGTATAAAAATCCTAAATCTGAAATCAAGGAGAAGTGGTCTCACAGGAGGATGCCCTCCTGGTAATGGTCCAAGGAGGGAGATGCTCAGGGGAAGGTAGAGTTTGTTAGTTGAGTCATTATTAGAGTCTTTTCCACAACCTCTAATTCCAGTTTTACATAAACAGAAGGACAATCCATAAGGTTGTGAGGAAATAGAAACACATGAAGGGAAATGAAGGGAATGGAGCAGGTTCTAAGAAGAATGAGGTGAGAGGAAGAATTAACGCTCTAACAAATAGGCATGGAGAGGAAAGAGATACTAGTGCAGTCACAACAACTGTAGAAAGGCATCTTGGGAGATGGGAGCACCAGGGAATGTGGGAGCAGTTGGGGAAAGAAGCAGGTGAAGCAACATATCATCCAGAAGTAAAACAAAGCTAAAGAGAGGTGGCAACAGAGCCAGCGATGAGATGTGAATGGGTTAGAGAGAGAGAGAGAACAATGCTGCGGGGCTGGAAAGGATGACATTTGGAGCTTAAAACTAGATGGATACATTAAAGAGGGGGATGGTGGTTGAGGGAGTGGAGCAACTGAAGAGGGAAAAGTTGCATGAAGAGAGAAGCCACTGAAAACAGGCACTGTTATTGCGTGTGGTAACGGAGGCCTGTAATTACAGTGGTTTGGAAGTCTTAGTAGGATTGGAAGTTCAAGGACAGAGTTAGCAACTTAGTGAGTCCTTGTCTGAAAAAATAAAGAGGGCTACAGGTGTGGCTCAGTGGCAGAGCACCTCTGGGTTCATTCTCTAAAGAACAACCACCAACAACAATAAACCAGATGGGCACTGTGCAAAGCAATTCTGATGCCGATAAACTGCACTGAGGTGAAGTGCTACAGATTGAGGCCACAGGCCTCACTCCACTGCCCACACTTCAGACACCAGCTGCAAGCTCTGGGTTTCCAAGACCACTCATGCCATCCCAGAATGTCCTCAAGTCCAGGCTGACATGTCCCCGATCTCAAGTTCAACATGCCTGAAATCCAGTTGCTATTCCTGTCTAAGGCTGTTCCTCCTCTAGCCTAATGGAATCACTCTGCAGTATTGGCCACACTCACCAAAGCAATAAGCAAGCAGATGACACGTGTTCTACTTTTATATTTCATTTCAGGAAAGTCCACAGCCTGCTACAAGAGGTATCAGCAATAGCATGACTTGGTTGTTCCCAATTTCCAGCTGGCAACCCTGAATTTCCTTTCTCCACATTAACACATTCCAGGAAAGGAGAAACACTGTCCTGAGAAGGGACAGCTAGCTCACCTGGAAACTGATTTTTAATGTGCATCTTCTGAATTCACAAAAACTCCCACCAGCACTATAACTGCTTCCTTTTAGTATCATCACCTCTATAATAAGATGATGATGGTCCCAATCACATACTGTACCATCAGCAGGAAGCAGGGGCTCCGTGGAAAGCACTTAATGCAGCTTTGTGAATACCGCACTTATCAGTGTGTCTATTCCTGGCTTATCACTTTCCAAATTAGTACAGCAAATAAAGTAAGTCAGAGATTTTCCTTCTCCCTGGGCTCATCTCCAATCTTATTCCTCCCATCAAAACAACACAATCCTCTTTTGACCTCAACTCCCTCCACAGCTACTGACTAATTCCATTTTTCCTATTGGAGCAACATTTGTTTAAAAATTTATACACAGATGAAATCCAGTTCTTTCACTCTCTTTTAAACCCCTCCAGATCCACCTAAACAAATCCTCAAGGAGTCCCAGGACTGAATCCCATGGCCAGTTCTGTCCTTGGGCTTGACTGTGAACAGTGTTGATACAGTTCTTCCTCCAACCCCCAGATCTTTTAATTTCCTTAGCTCCTGAAACTTCATGCCTCTGGTCCTCATTCTGGCCTCACTACCAGCCCCACCCAGTCCCTCCTTCTGTAGCAGACTTTGCACATGGAAGAGTCCTGGGCTCACCCACTTACCCAACACAGCTTTCCATGCTGACTTCCAGCGCAGGCTGTCTACTGAAGTCCCAACACAAGCCCTGCCCTCTTGCTATCTCTGCTTTACCTCATGCTAACAGCGCCAATTCAAAATGGCTAAAACCCAATTCTGGCTTTTTCTTAAATTTGATTTTTCACCATCTTCCCACTCCCAGTTTAATGATAACCTACTTTTCTTGGTCACTCAGGGAGCCTCCGAAGAGCTTTCCACATAGGGGCAGCATGATCAAATTATGGTTTTAGGAGAAATACTCAAGGCAGAAAATGCACTTGAGCCAGTGAAGGAAAGTTGTAGTAGAGAATGGGAGTTTCTGCAGGAGTCCAAAGAAACAAAAACAACCCCCAAAACTGTAATAATGGTAACAAGGAGAGAGTAAGGGGAAAGGATAACTTTGAATATAACACCAGCAAACTTGAGCAACTGCCTGTGACAACAGCAAATGGAGGATCATAGAAGGATCCCACTTTTCTGGACAGGCTCATAGGCTGCATCAATGAACAAACAGGGGCAAGAGCAGAAGGCATAGACGGACCAACAAAAATGATTTGGGATCTATTGTATTTATAAGCTTGAGGTGTCCTCTGGACATACCCCAGGGAGAGGCTCAGTAGCTGGCTGGACAGAGGCATCTGATCCCCATGGGGGATTGACATAGACTTGGGGTTAAAAGCACAGGACGGTGAGATCAGACAGGAGTAAGGAGGGTCATGAGCTAACAGCAGAAGAACTCCTCAGATTCACAAAGAGGGCAACAAGACAAATGTGGGACAGAAAATTACAGGGGAGACTGCAGAGTGTCTAAGACAATGATGGGCAATTAGCCCTGGGTGTGCATGTTAGAAATAACCCAGTGTACATTAGGTCGTGGGCAACCTTCACCAGAACAGGATGAGGGAAGTGTCAGGCACAGAATGGAGACCGTGGGAGGCAGGATAAAAAGGGAATGGGAAATGAGGACCCCTCTGCCAGGGATTTCTACTGCATTGTCTGCTGTGCAACCCAGACCAACCTGCAGAAAGAACTGCTTAGACTCACTTAAGGGAGAGGCCATTCCTCTAGCCGATCCAGGCCTTATCCTTGCACAGAGCAACAAAACCAATGTTTTAGTCACCACAAAGATCATGTGTGCTGAGTCCTTCCTGGGCATTATGCTGTCTAGCCAGAGGAGAGACAAGTAAGGTACCAGTGGCAGTGGCTTGCTGGTGGTTATTGATGTGATTAGGAAGGCTATTCCTAATCACATCAAAGAAATATTTAAAATCCAAAAGAAAGAAACCTTCCCACTTATGGTCAATGTAAGTCAATGAATGTATAATATTAATAATTACTTGCTATGAATGCCAAAAAATAGGAGACACACATGTACTCTGGTTTTAGGGATGCTTTAAGGATCATGCTGTTCTACACACATGAACAGGACAAAGTCATTGGTTGTTGATCACTACACTGTTTTGAACATATTTAGACTATTTATTTGCCTCCTAAGGAGTACTGTAAGCAAAAGTAGAGAATAAACACATGAATAGAAAAACTCACCAGGGATTTATTCATTTTCTGCTGCTCTTGGAAAACATGGAAGATGTGGAAGCAGGTGCAGACCTGGGGATTGAAAATGCAAGCAGTGTGGTTATGAGTCATCTGGCCTGCCGTGGCAGGGATCTCCTGCATAAAAACCTACCCAAAAACCTCCCAGGACATCTCCTGGGAGGCTGTCCCATTAGGCCTTCCCACCCACATGTTTGTATGGGTGAACAAGTGGGTGTGAGTCTCATGGTGAATGAACTTCCAATTCACATGAAAATATCTGCCATCATTTAAATGTCAGCTGAAAAAGGAATTCTGCTCTACAGCACTCATCTGTTTTCTAATTGTAGAAACTTTGGCTCTGGTGAAAGGGGTATTTTTAAAAATATTTCTTTTAGTTGTACATAGACAAAATGCCTTTATTTTGTTTATTTATTTTTATGTGGTGCTGAGGATCGAACCCAGTGCCTCATACTTCCGAGGCAAGCAGCTCTGCCACTGAGCCACAATCCCAGCCAGAAAGGGATATTTTATTAAGAAACTTACTGTGACTTAAATGAAATACAGGGGAAGGCATACTGGCCCGAAAGTGCCCACAAACTAACGGGAGACCTCGGTGAACTACTCCCATCTCAGACCCAACAGCTCCCTCCATCAAAGGAGGCAGAAAGAGACTTTTCCTTCACTAAGCTGCATGACTCTGCAAGGACAGGCCTCAGCGGGAGTCAGTCAAAGAACTGAGGTGCAGATGGAGGCTGTCACACACTGGGAGACACTCGAGCTCCCAAGGAAGAAGGGAGAAGGAGCAAGAACGGAGGAGAGAGGCAGAAGTCTCACAGAGGACAGGAGGACAGTGTCCCCTCTTCCCCAGCTCACGGTGGCCTTACAGATGTACCCACGGAGCACCTCGTCCTGCCAGCAACCCGACCATCCTGAAGCCAGTAAACCCTGTCCTGCTTCATGCCATAACGTCCCGCCACGCGGTTCCTGCACCCACTACCTGCCCCGCTGGGATTGCGCAGCTGTGGCCCTTCAGCTCCTGAGGGGTAGGGGATGACAGGGGCGAAGGTTCCCGCCGCTGCTCGGGACAGATCTGGGTGCAGATGATTCCGAGGGCCATTACGGGTCCAGAGAAGAACTAGCGGTTCCTGGGGCCGTTATTGCTCCCGAGGGGGCCGAGGCGTGGACGCTAACAGAGGCCCCTGCTGCTCCCAGGCCTCCAACCTGCCCTCGCCAAACAGGTGTGCTCCAAGGGCCCAGGCCGCGCCTCCCTACAGGTCCCAGATCCTCCTGCTCTGACTCAGCCTCCAGAGTCATGCCTGCTGTGGCGCTGCCGCCCTCGCCTAAGCTCCATTCCTTATATTGTGGTTTTTGTTTTTGTTTTTTTGTTTTTACTGAGCTCTTACATGACTTATCTGGTGTTACCATCCTAAATAAATATTTTATTAAATACAGAATGAATTGTTTGTCCTACAAATTAACCTTTTGAACATCCCATGTTGTGGTTTGTTTTTCATTGGGCAGCAAAAGCTCTATAGGGCTGCAAACATTTCACTCAACAATCTGTAAAACTTTATGTATTTCGTGGAAAAAATATAATTCTGGATTCCTGATTTTGCCATTGTATTGATTTGTAATATTGTTTTGATTTATGTAAAAGTACTCGACTTTGGGGCTGGGGCTGGGGCTTAGTGGTAGGATGAGTGCCTAGCATGTGTGGGGCACTGGGTTCAATCCTCAGCACCACATAGAAACAAATAAATAGAGGTATTGTGTCCATCTACAACTAAATAAAAAACAATTTAAATGTTTATGACTTAGTTTTTATGTGATGCACCATCAATATAAAAGTGTTGAACACTAACAGTGCTTACCACAAGGAGAATGTAGTATTTTTGCTTCCTGCATTAAAATGTTGGAGGAAGGGAGCCGGATGCGTTGTATGTGCATTTAGTGTGGGTCATAACGTCTTTCTAAATTGACAGTATAATTACATAGTTTAACCTCATTTTATTTTCATCTCTTGCTTTGTGTTCTTGCTTTGTGTAGCAGTCTGTCTTCCCAGCATCCTAATCTTGGTTTAGTGGCTGTGGTCTGTCTCCTCTTCCTTCTGAGTGTGAAGGAAAGGTGGGAATCCAGCGGCAGTAGGTCCAGCAGACCCTTTGCTGCCCAGACTGGGGAGTGGGTGGGCTTAGTGGGGCTCATACCTGTCTTTGCACATGTAAATCAGACAAGCTGGGGTCACTTACCACAGAGCAACATGCACAGAACAAGAACTGGAACCTCAGAATGTCAAGCCACCTGTAGTCATTATTCCCACATAAAAATAAAATTGTCTAAGAAGTCAAAACCATTTCATGGTGAACCAGGATGACATCTAATTAAAGGAGGGTGCCTGAGCTGGAGTGCAGGACTAGCCAAGTCGTCCTGTGTTGGAAACAAAGGCCTTGCCTGTGGGACTCCCCTTATGAAGCCCTGTTTCAGTTACTTTCATTTCTTTCCTTTTTTTTTTCCAGTAAACATTTCTTTAATCTTTAGATTTCTTTTTATAAGAACCCAGTTCAACACATCTGTAATTCAACAATATAAAGAGAACACAAATATCAAAAAACCTACCTTTCCTTCCTCTTAATATATCCCTTATTAGCTTGAGGTAGGACTTATTTCTCTGAAGATTCTGTTATTAAGTTGCTGTCAAAATGGAACTGAATTCCTATGTGGAGCAGTGGCATACCTAAGTGAAACATTAGAAAATAAATAGCTAATTCAGACTTTAAAAAGTACATGATTGAATCATGTGATAGCAAAGTTATGGTCTTATCCAGAAAAGCTACTTGGAAAAGGTAATTTTTAAAGGGTAACATCCTATGAATTGTCACTTACAAATGGAATATAAGCAAAGGTACCAGTGAACAAGCAAAGTACAACTGCCTCAGTCCCATAAGTAGACTTGAGTGTGGTGAGGCATAAATAAAGTCTCCAATGAATAGTATCGTTTTTGCTGTGAGAAAGAAGGATGAAGGCTGGAGTTATAGCTCAGTGTGAGAGCACTTGCTTCACAAGTGTGAGGCACTGGGTGTGATCCTAGCACCACATAAAAATACATAAAGGCATTGAGTCCATATACTACTAAAAATTTTTTTAAAAAGAAAGAAGGATGAGTATACTATGTAATTTGTCTAGCACCTATGGAGGATGTGACATCTACATAAGTAAATTTTCCACATAAAATTGAAGTAGCCTTGTGCAAGGCCCTGGATTTGATCCCCAACACTAACAAAAACAAAAAACTTTGAAGTTGGTGTTGGGATGGGCAAAAGGTGTGACTTATGCAGTTGAGGGGGAGAAATAAAGAATTCCACTTGCTTCTGCCCTTTTCAATGCTTTATTCACTCAAATCACTCAATACAATTTCACTCTATAGGTTCTTAATCAAGAAAATGATAATCCTTAATTCTCGGCACTGCAATAGACATAACCAATTCACAGCAAACAATTCTGTGGATTAATTAATTCTAAGCACTGTAACACACTTAATCATGACAGGCTAATGACAGACATTTCCTCTGCATGCTAAGTTCAAGTGTCAGATCAAAAGTCTCAAGCCTTAGGCTTTAAGTCCAGCAGATGCACACACACTTAGACCTTGGTGATCAGGTCAGGAACCAAGGCAGGCTTTTCTTGGGGGAAGCTGACAGCCGGCTGAGGAGGCGGTCCTAGGGAGAAGTTGTGGCTCTTACCAGGGTCAAGATGTGGCTGTAGAGTTTGAGAGCGGTGAGGAAGATACAGAGGATCAGCAACCGATGACAAGTGATGGGATGTCAGTCCAGGTCATCATCAGGCTCTCCATCTTGTGTGCATCAGTATCGGCTGGCTGAATGTTCCTTTGCTCTATTATTTATACTAAATTTTGGGGCTTTTGATCCCCCTTTCGATCCTTATCAGCTATCACTGGATTTCTCAGTAACATCATTTTACTCTGGGGTTAAAACATCTCACCTGGTGGTCCCCACCCTGATCTTTTCACCTTTCCCTATTATCGGGCAAGGATAGCCTGCCAGGGTTCACTCTTGAGTTTATCAGGGTGAGGGGAAGTGACTTGTTTGTGTCTGAGGGCCACACTGAAGGGCTCCATTAGGCGTGCATGGTGAGACTGCAGGTTTCAAACTCGAGTTTTTAAAATGGAGGTGCTTAAGCTCAGGCCTAAGGCCATCCTCACAGTTGGCTACTTTAATTTTAATTAAAATAGCCACAGACTGTATATTTCTACCAGCCTCTGTAACTGTTTTGCCTTTTCTCCATTTGAGTGATAAAAAAAAAGAAAAGAAAAAAGAATGAAGGTTCTGTGCTTTAGGAAATGCACCAGTATCGAAGGCCAATGGAGGAATATAGGCTTAGGAGCCCTTCTGAAGCTCTGGGCAGGGCATGGGCTGGGCTTGTAAGTATGTGGCGCCACTGCAGCTTGCCCTGGCAGGAGGATTGTGGCCCCTTAGCAAAGCCCGGAAAGCTCCTGTCCCTTACCCTGCCCCTACTTTCGCTTCTTGAAGAAAGATTATCAGGTAATTAATGGTTTTCATTGAGATGTTCATATGTGTGTGTGTGTGTGTGTGTGTGTGTGTGTTTCTTTCTTTTTTTTGTAGTGCTGGGGATGGAACCCAGGGCCTTGTCCCACGCTAAGCAAGTGCTCTACCACTGATCTACACTCCCAGTCCATGTGTGTGTGAAGTGATGACTATGTAAATTCACAGGCACCAATCCACTCCTGTCCAGTTCAGTCAGAGTTTGAATCAAGTTTCCTGCTGCCTCACACCCTGGCCAAGAGAGCAGGTAGAGAAATATTTTTGATAGAAACCACAGTGCCTTATGGGAACTCTAAATAAGAAAAGCATGAGCTTTGGGGTCAGACTTGTGTTTTGGGGTCAGACTTCCCGGACAAGGAATCTCATATGAGCCTTGTTCCCCTGATTCATGGAAAAACTGCTGCCCTAGGATTTCTGTGAGGTTTAAAGGTACCCTTGTTGGTGAAGCTCACAGAACTAAGCTTGACACACATTAATCACCTCCAAGGCCCACTTTCTCTTCTGTTCGTTAGAGACAGCGCCCCTGAAAGCTGGCTGGTAACTGGTTCTGCTTAGAATCCTTGTTAGAGAGGCATAGATGAGGAGGAATTGGTCTTAGGTGCCTTCCCAAATGGCTCGTCAGTTTAAATGTTGATTGAATGGGCTTCAAGAAGAGTCTTTCTGTGATTTTTCCCTCTAGCAGTCTGAAGTGGAATTTCCCAGGGATCATAACTCTATCTAAGATGGGTTCCCCCACCTGTCTAGGGTTACCCTTTTACAGTGTAAACTATATTTTTTATTTTCTTCTTTAAATATGGAAGATTGAACCCCTGTTTTATCACTGAGGTTAAAAAATCTCTGATTTACTATTCCCTTCCCATTTTTAAAGTTTTAATTTTGAGACAGGGTCTCACTAAATTGCTGAGGCTGGCCTCAAACTTGAGAACATACTGCTTCAGCCCCCCAATCACTGGGATTATAGGTGCACACCAGCATGCCTGGTTACAGTGTGCAATCTTGCTGTAGGTTATTTAGGTGTTTCTCCTGCAGGTTTGAAGTAATGCCTGCTTTTAAGCCACAGTTTAAAAGTAAGTTGCAACATAGCACTAATCCTTTTAAATGACAGAACAAGGATACGCTTTTATGTATGGTCAGCTTTTCATTGCTGTTACACAAATCCCCGACAAGAACAATTTAGAGGAGGAAAACTTGATTTGGGGTTCACGATTTCAGAGGACTTAGTCCATGGTCTCCTGAGCCCATGACTCTGGGCCCACGTGAGGCACCATGGCAGTAGGGCCTGATGCTCAGTACATGGCAGCCAGGAAGCAGGGAGAGTGGGCTAAGGCGACAGGGAAAAAATATCAAACCCAAAGGCAGGTGACCCCAGTGACCTATTTTCTCTAGCCACACCTCATCTTCCTACACCTAACACTGAGTACAGTAGTCCTTTCAAATTATTAGTTCACTGATTAGATTGCAGCTCTCACAATCTATCTAATCTTTTCACCTGTGAACATTGTTCACCTGAGCTCATTGTTAATGAGCTTTTGGGGGACATCTCATATTCAAGCCATAAGAGACATTGAAATACAGCACTCCAAATCTCTGTTCTACTTTGACCTTGGGCACTTAAGCGGTGCAAGTCTTTAGTCATCCTCAACACTACACTTTTAACTGTTGCCAGATTAGAAAGAAAAGATAAAACCTATTTACTCACTCTGTAAGGTTTCTACGACAATGTGGGTTTGTCATAAGGAAATTGATGTGCCCTAAAACTAACAATGTGACTTATTTCCTCCATGGTCTAAGGCCTAAAGATCTCAGGACTTTAAAGAATTCTCAGAAAAACAACTCTCCAAATTCCTGAACAATCACCTGGCCAAATTGGTAGACAAGAGTGGCAAATTCTAAGTACAAAGATATTCATGCACACAGGATAATTCTTCTATATATTTTAAGATTAAAATACATTCTCACAAAAATACCAAAATTATAAACCATGTATAGAATAACTGCTTCTAATCCAGAAGGGTTTTTAGAAGAAAATTAAAATGTAGGCCTGGGGCTGTAGCTCAGTGGTAGAGTGCTTGCTTGCCTAGCATGTGTGAGGCACAGATCCTCAACACCACATTAAAAAAAATAAAATAACATAACATAAAGGCATGTGTCCATCTTCACTACCAAAAGAATGTTTTTAAGTATTAAAATGTAGAATAAGATGAACAAACACACTGATAGGGACATGCTCTAAAGATAGGACAAAAATCGAGCCCACATAGCCCAGCAGGTTTTTGTTAGAGAATGTCTGTAAAGTGTTGGGCAAGTCAAGGAGCCTTTCTGTGATTTGCTTTCCTGTTTGACCTTAGAGACCCACAGTTGTAGGTCCTAAGTAGTTGGTGATTGTTCTCAACCACTCCAGACTCAGCACCTGCCACTGGACACCTGGATGGATAGGTCGCACCTCTGAGCCCCCTGCAGGACTTCCTTGAGCCAACAGCACACCGGCACTCAGCACCTGATGCAGGTGCATCACATATTGTGGGAGCATAGGTCCTTGGCCAGGAGGTGGAATGGAGACCAACATGGAATGAACCAGCTGGGAACCAAGATAGGGTTCCATATCAGGGTGAGGAATGGAAAAGAAAACCAGGCTCTGCAAAATGAGGGTTTCCAGCTGTATGCTCTCATCTGTGAGGGAGTGGAGAGGGGCCGACTTGGGAAAAAACTACAGAGCAGGTGAATTTGGGGGCACCAGCAGCAGACCCGTGCTTTATCTCCAGTTGTCACTTATTGCTGTACGACTGGGACAACTTTCTGAGTACAGTTTCCTTGTCTAACAAAAGAGGGGACTAAGTGTGAAATCAAGCTCCATCTCTCTCCCAGAATCCCCTCCAGACAAGGTTTACCAGTTAGGATGACAAAGGAGTGAGATTTACAAGGACCAGGTCCATGATCACAGAGCAAGAAAAGGGGGTGAATTTGTGACTGACAGACAATGAATGCACAATGGCTGTATATTTACATCTATACATCAGCACATCCAGCACTTCATTCCTTCTTTAACTGATAATATTCCTTCATAAGGATAAAACCTATTTTGTTTGCCCATTCATCTACTGATAGACATTGGAGTGGTTTTCCCTCTTTGGCTATGGTGAATCATGCATCTGTGAGCATGTGTGTATGGATCCTTGTTGGGGTACTTGATTTCAGTTCTTTGGGAATATACACTGAATGGAATTGCTGGTTCATACGGGGAGTCTGTGTTTACTTGGTCAAGGAGCCAACAAACTGTTTTCCACCATTTTCCACTCCCACCCGTGATGTGAAGGGAGTTACAGGTTCTCTACATCTTTGCTGGGCTATGTGGGCTCGATTTTTTGTCCTATCTTTAGAGGGCGGTGGGCGGCGGGTGGGTCAGTGCGCGTGCGCGCGCCTCGGTCCTGAGCGAGCATGCGCAGTGCCCCGCCTTGTGCGCCTGTGCGAAGTATCGGCGGATTTGCTTGTGGAGTCCAGGGAGGTGAGAGGCGCTGGCGTCGTCTGAGGGTTGCTGCTCTTTGGCCGTCGCTGTCCCGCTATAACTTGGTCTTCCCCGCGTTCTTGAAGCTGTTCCTGCGAGCGTTGTCCTGGACGGCGACGAGGAGCAGGGAGGCGAGCCGTCACCTGAGGCTCTGACGAGAGGTACTGACGCGGTCACCGCGATGGCCTTTTAGTCTCTTGCCTGGTCCTCGCGACGGCGGAGCAGGTAGGTGCGGGTGCTGTCCCCGCTTTATAGACGTCAGACCGAGGCCGGGAGAGGGGAGGCCGTGTCGGGGTCACATCCACGGCCCAGAGGTCAGCGCTGCCGGGCAGGAGCACGGGCTGCCGCGCGGAGGACGGGTGGAGCGGGGCGTCATTACAGACCCAAAATGGCGGCCTCCAACTTTCTGGAGCTGTTATGAGGAGACGCCTCAGAAAGCACTGAAAGTCCGAATTTCAAATCAAAAGAGAGCTTTATTTACCTGGCCAGGGACTGTCACCCACCGTGGAGATTTAAGCTCTGTGGGAGGACAGCAGCTTCCTGGTTCATCCAAAAAGAATATAAGCACAAAATCCACAACTCAGTGACTCGCTTATCATCATGTAAGCTAGCCGGTCATAGAAATTAAAACATTAGTAAGTGGGACCTGTGGGCTCCAGGCAGGACTGGAATTTTCCAGTCAGCAAGCCAGCGATAAACAGAAGCAAAACAAGCATTAGCTTTGCAGTTCAGTTGATCACAGTCCTGGGTTCAAGCAGGTGCTGGACAGTTGCTTCCTGAATTTGGGCGGGTGTTGTGGGGGCTGAGAATCTACTTCAAAGTCATATAGACCCACAAGTGTACTCAGACCCAGGATATAGCTCACCATGACTACCACTGCATTCTGATTAGGGTACAATTTGTGGGATACAAAGTACAGAAAAACAATTTTTATAAGAAAACAGCTTTTGTAACAGTTTTTTATAGAAAGCAGCAAAATGGAGTCTTAGGCCTGTCTATGACAGTTCTTGCTTCATAATTGTCTTATCTCACTTATCAAACTCTTATATCTATAAACTATATTTTTAACTAATATGTAATCTAATTTACACTCTTATTGATTGTATTTATCAGTTCACACCACAACAGAGCCAGGTGCACTTGCATGGTTCCCACTTTGCGCGGGAGAGCAGAGCTCCTGCCCTGCAAGACAAAGGTAGGAAATAATGCCCTTCGTTGTTGCCCTTCTTGAGCTGGGGGTGGCAGAATTTCTCGAGAAGCAGAATGGCTCTGCATATGTGTGTTGTTCCGGAGTGTGGAACCAGTGGGGAGTGCCATTGGTGCATGAAGTCCACTTGCAAAGGGTGTGGGCAAGGAATAATGTCATGGTTCTGAAAACGTAGATTCTGAAGGGGAAAGGGATTTCAAAACAAGAAATGTGGTCTGCTTTCCAGGAACTTTGTAGTTTTTAGGGCCAGGTTTTTCAGAGATCATTTCCCTATTATTTTGTGTAGACATGGAGACCTGAATAGCACAAAACTGATGAAAAACACAAGCACTCAACTACTGTGCTAAATTCCAGTCCCCGGGTTCCGCTTCTTATCTGGGCTTGAATCTTTAATAGGGCAGTCTTGCCTTCTGCTAAAATACCTGTAGAGATGGGTCAGACTTCTTATTACTTTGTGTTGTTCAGTGCTGTCTTTCATTGTTCTGCAGTGAGTTACAAAATCATAGTTATAAGACCACAGGACTCCTCCTTTTGAGTTTTATCGGTGCTCACTGTGAACATGTTTGCATCTGTGTTCAGTGCCTTCCCTCTTGGTTCAGATTCAATGTGTGTTGATCTTGTTAATCCACAGATGTATAAATTTTCTGTTTAATAATCTAGCAAACATGTAGTTTATTGGTTTACCAGTTGCATATTTCTGAGTCATATCAAGCAGTTTTCCAGCAGCTGACATTATATTTGCATCCTTGTGGCTAGAAATGGATTTAAATAGACTATAATAGACATAAAATAAGAACAATGATATAAACTTAGAAAGTGAAAAAGAAAGAAAGCCATACTCTTTCATTGACTTAGTGTATCTTTTTTTTTTTCAAGGAAGCAGTTTATTAAAGATAATGTTCATCTGGTTTGTAGTGCATGCCTGTGATGCCAACCAACTACTTGTCTGGGGTTGGAGGATATCTAGTGCAGAGAACCATCTTCCCATGCAGATATCAGCAATGGCTAAGCCTCCAGCAGATCCCCACATTCCCAGTTCCCTTTGGGGGCCCAGTGGTAACAGGGATCTAAGGCACATGGGAATCCAGAGAATATCTAAAGTGTGTAAAAACCCTGAATTCCCTTTGTAGCTGAAGGATTTGGATTGGAAATTTCCCAAATTGGAACATTAATGTCAAAACCATTGGCCACTAGAAATTAGGCATATGGAAAATAGGCTAGAGTTAGGGGTCACAGCTGGGTACCTAGTAATAATGTCTCTAGGGAAAACCAGATTCCCTTTTCACCCCAGCCTGTCCTCTTTGGATAGTGGGGCAGAGGCAGGATTTTCTCTGTACCCCAGTCCAGACCCTCTTATTCAATATGCTAGTCTTACTTTGATCTGAAGAATTAGCTTAGGCCACGCTGGGCCTGGTGGCTCAAGCCTGTAATCTCCAGCGACTCAGGAGAGACCAAGGGAGGACTGTAACAATTCTAGGCCAGCCTGGACAACTTAGCCAGACCATCTCTAAAGGGCTGGGGATGTAGCTCAGTGGTTAATACCCCTGGGTTCAATCCCAGGAACCAAAAAATGAATTAGCTTACCTTGGGAGCCTTATTTTTGTAGGGTGGACAGAAATGCAGAAGCCGCAAATCTCCAGAAGGCTCCCAGGATGCCTCCTCAAATAGCAGACTTAGTGTGTCTTTATATTAATGAAAATTATATTCCATAGTCAGGGTTACCTTGTTTTGGAAAATATTACCTCCCTTTACTTCTTTGTATCATGTGTTACAAAGCAGCTCTTTCGATTCCATTTCTGACCCTCCCTATTTCTGGACAGGTGGATTGGCATTTTGACTTCGCATGTCATGCAGCAAAGGAGATTTGATGTGCTTGTGGAATCCTGCTCAGCAGTTACTTGATCTTCCTCAGGGTCCTCCTGGCAGTTGTTATAGCTATTGTGTCGACCATCATGTGTGTCACCATGAAAGGTAAAGAATAGCCTTTTCTATTTGACACCTATTTCATTTTATTTTCATAGTTTATTGAGATGTAATTTGCATACCCTGTGATCCACCCATTTAAAGTATACAACTCAGGGTTTTTAGTACATGTCAGAGTTGTGTAACTATCACCACAATCAACTTCCAAACATTTCATCACCTCCAAAAGAAATCCTGTCAGTACCAATTAGCATTTCCCCCCACAGTTCACCAAGCCCTAGGCACCTACTCATCTGCATTCTGTCTCCATAGTTTTGCCTATTCTGGACATCAGAGAAGTGGAATTATCCACTGTGTTATCTTTTAGTCTGGCTTCTTAGCATAATGTTTTCATGGTTCACCCATGTTATTCATGCTTAGACCTTTATTCCTTCTTATGGCTGATTAAATTGACATTGAAGGGACCCCATTTTACTCATCAGTTGGTGAATATTTGAGTATTTCTCTTTTTAAATATTACCAATAATGCTGCTATGAATATTTGCACACAAGTGTTTGTACAGAAGTGTGTTTTTATTTCTCTCAGGTATATATCTGGGAGTGGACTTGCTGGGTCATGTGGTAACTCTACATTTAACCTTTTTTCAAAAAGTATTTTTTAGTTGTCAGTGGACCTTTTTTTATTTTTATAGGGTGCTGAGAATCTAAACCAGTGTCTGACACATGCTAGGCAAGTGCTCTACCACTGAACCACAACCCCAGCCGCTCTACATTTAACCTTTTGAGGAACTGTCAGACTTCTGAGCAGCTGCACCTTTTACTCTCCCATCAACAGTGTAAAGGGTTCTAATTTCTCATCCTAACCAACACATTATTAGACTTCCTGATTATAGACATCCTAGTGATCAGGAAATGGTATCTAGTAGTTTTGATTTGTATTTTTTGATGACCAGTTGACTAAAAGGTGTTGACCTTTCATGTGCTCATTGGCCATCAGTTTTGGAGAACTAATTCTGTAAAAGGATAAACAAGTTTATTTATCTCTTTATTAATGAGTTATAGTTATACTGATTCTGTGCCACCCCCTTTATTTTGTTTTGGTGCTGGGGATTGAATCCAGGGCCTTGCACATGGTAACCAAAATCTATCAGTGAACTATACCACTAGCCCTTCTGTCTAATCTTTTTGATAATTCTTCCAACATATTACAGATTTATGCAATCATTTCTTAGAAAATATCTCTGGAAATATTGGAATCTTCCCCTCTTTGATTGCAGTGGTTCACAGTGAGCTAAGCATTCTGTGGCTAATAAAAAAGGGCATAGGAAATTTTAAAAATTGAGTCTCTTCTCTTAGCTGGTCCCAATTTGTGTCCTTTTTTACATGACAAATCAGTAATTATAGGATTCGTGCTCTCCTAACCTCAGTGAGATGTTAATAGAAAATTATACAATAGGATCATGGGAATCCCCGAATTTGCAGCCATTGGTGAGAAGTGCGAGTGGCCTGGGAAACCCGGAGCTTATGGCTGATGTCTAAAAAGAAGATGGTGTAGGGGCGGCCTGTGGCCTCAACGGGTAGCACATGACCTTCATGTGGTTGATCAGCATCAGATTTGCTTTACACAGTGCTGTCTTTAATGACTTCTTCCTTTTTGGTACTTTTACCTCTGAAGTTACTCCATTCACCCAACCACCATCCCTCTTTTAACACATTCAACCAATCTTAAGCTCATTCAATATTGGTCCCTTCCAATCCCTTCACATCATCTCCACTTGCCTCTCCAACCCCACATCACATCTCATCGATGGCTCCGTTGCCACCTCTCTTTAGCTTTGTTTTTCTTCTGGCTGATACTTTGCTTTACCTGCTTCTTTCCAGCTGTTCCCATATTCTCTGATGCTCTCATCTCTCAAGGTACTTGTCTACAGTCATTCATTGCCCAAACTCTTAGCTCTTTCCTCTCTGTGCCTTCTATTTACCAGCTCGAGGTCTTCCTATCATCTCATTCTTCTTCCAACCTGCTCTAGTACCTTCATTTCCCTTCACAAGTTTCTATTTCAAGAAGACTCTTTGGATTTTCTTCTGTCATGTAAAATTAGAAACACAGGTTGTGGAGAAGACTCCCATTTTGACTCAAGTAGCAAAGACTACTATTCCCCCTGTGTTCCTAACCTTGGACATTACCAGGAAGCCATCTCCTGTTATATGCTCTCCTCGATTTTGGATTTAAGATTATTGTACAGCTTCCTTTAAATTTTCTTTCACTCTTCCTGTGTTGTCTCTCTCAGTGACTTCCTGTGTTTCCTCTTCCAGTCTCTACTTTAAGTTCTGCAACCTTCTCTGTTATTTTGCTACCTAAAAAATGAGGTGTTTTTCTCCCACAAGTAAGAAATTTGGTCAATTAACCACAACCCTGTATTGTTTGACAACAAAAAAATAATCCAGAATGACAAGATCATATGCATCATTACAGTAAGAAGAGTTTCAACTTTATTCAGTTTCCTCACAAATGCACTGTGCTGTACTCTTCACAAGCACATAACACATGTGCTCTCTTACAATATACACTACAGAAAAACATTTAAAGAAAAGTTCAATAACAGCAGCTTGATATTCACCATAATGATGATAGAACATCACATGAAAATTTTATATTTATTAGATTATGGGTTAATAACACTGAGGTATAAAAGTAATATGATAAAATAGATAAAAAGAATAAAAACCTCAGAGAAATATATATATGAACACAAACATGTTATAACACTCATTACAAAACTAATAAGGAAAAACAAATTTCCAAACAATATCTATCTCAGAACTATTTAAAATAAACAGTGTTCAAAATAAATGACATTTATCACATGTACTAAAACTGTGACAATCATATAAATAAATCATCTTCATGCTTGGTATCCTTAAGGGATATGTGACCCAAGATGAATTAAAAGGAGAGGTAAAAAGAGAATTTACAGGGGGAGAGAGAGATTCATGGCTAAAGGATATTCACTTTAGACCAAGATCAACCATTCATCAAAGCTGACATGTGGGCCCAATTGCTGTGGGTTTAGGATTTCTAGCACATCCTGAATGATAAACTGTTCTCTCTCAGGTCTAGCTGAGCAACCTCAGAGCCCCCAGCACACCTCTAGGGGGTCATCTGTGTGGTTGGAGTTTGAGACCATGAAGCTGACTTGGAGATTCAGGCTGTTTCACCATCTGCAGAGGGTGGCTGTGGGTGGAGGTGGACAGGACTGGATCAAGAAGGTAGGACCTCGAGCATCCTGAATAGAAAATCACTGACTCTGTCTGTCATCAAGCCAGGGATACAGAATTTTGTCCCTCCCCTCAGGCCAACATAGTTCCAGGACTTCTAGGCAATGAGGGTGCGATCCCGGCCCCACACCCAGAGCTCCGGATCATAAGCTTGAATCTGGAAAGGAAAAGAGCCCCCACCAAAGCTGATGACTTTACAGGATATTGAGGGGTTTGAAGTTATGGTTAATTTATTTTCCCATTCCTTAAAATCACTTCACTTTGATTTGGACTTTCTAGTCACCGTGATTCACACAGTCTATAAATATCTAAAACTACAATGTTGAGAGGCTTGATTCTATTAACTAAGTTCTGTCAGCTACAAAGGAGGTGACATAGCAAGGTGTAATTATTAGATTTATTTAGCCTGGTGACAAATGAAGTAGCTATATACGGATATCACAACATTATTTCAGCTATTACTCACATGGACGACACTTATCAGGATCATGTTATATAAAATGTGGGACACATTTTTTCAGATTTCTTTTCAATAAAAATCGAGTATATTTTCCTATATCAGATAAATAAATTAAGCATTTGTAAAGATGCTTTGACAGATAGAATCCTTTTGGTGTCCCTTCCCATCAAATTTGAAAAGTTGATTTTATCAAGAGACAAGCTTTATCATTGTCCCTGATTTGAGTAGAATAGTGGTTGAACATTAGTAATATTTCTGCTTGGATCCATCAAGAATAGTTAGTAACATGGTTAAATGCAAAACTGAGGACTGCCCAGGAAGTCCTTCCCTCCCTCCTGAGCTTTCTCCTCCCCAGAGCCCACCTGCAGCCACCCACCTTCCTGTGTCGCTCCAGTCAGCCCATCCCTCTCCCCCCACAAGGACACACAGCACCACCCACCTCCTCACACTCCTCCTTGGAAACCCGAGTGTTCCAGTCCATGGAGCAGATGAACTGATATCGCAGTTTGTGGAACAGGGGACGCTGGGCGTAGCTCTTCCCATAGAGGAAACGAAAGATTTCTTGTTTAGGAGCCTGGTTGTCCTCCTCCATGTCATTGGCCAGGTAGCTGGGGAAAGAAACCAGGTTGCTCTTTAGAGGCACAACCAAGAAGGACCTCCCCTTGGAGTCAGCTTCCCAAAACGGACTCCCAGAGGACCATCTTCAGACAGGACTGCACCAGCCCTATTAAGTGTTACAGAGGACCATGCCTTGGTCCAGAGGACTCTGCCAGACACACACCTTCTGAAGAACTCCAGCTCTTTTCTAGAAAGCATTGAGCAACACAGTTGTGGGGCAGTCCTAAGGGGTGGTTGGACCCATCTTGGAAGAATGTTTAGGGTGTGTGTAGAAAGCCACAAATGTGAGAAGACTCCTGTATGAAGAACCAGAGGGGACCACCCTACACTGGACCTGTGCCAGGCTGGGAATTGGGCATCTGTCTTGGAAATCCAGAGGCAGAAAACAGAGCAATGTTGGTATAGATACAGGAAGGAAGAGCAGTCAGATGTGGCTGCACCTCCAGTCTCTCTGCCAGTGACAGGAGGTGCCCATGCTCTCTTCCACTCCTCTCAGGTGGGCTTTAGGTTTCCTTGGTTTTCTTGACTCTTTAACAACTGGCCTTTAGGGAGCTTGTGTGTTGCTTTGACTAGGGAAGTGTGGAAAAGAAAAACAAACTATACTACAGTGCTGTGATCTCGTGTACACGGAGCAAACAGGACAAAGAGGCTAAAAGTAAAAGAAAGGTTAGTGCCCCTCTGCTCCCCTCCTACCCTCCCAGGTAGTGAGTCCTGATTGATGAAGGAGACCCAATACTCACAGGGCCAGAAAGAAGTGGATTCGTTGGTACTGCCAGGAGAAGAGGCCAGCCCGGCTAAAATAAGCTATGACCATAGACAGGAGGTACTGATGGAGAGAGAAGAAAAACACAGAGAGAGGTCACATCCTGGAAGAGGAGGAAAGAGGGGACAGGAATGGGAGTCTGGGGTGAAGAGTGCCCCTGAGAGAAGTTCACCACGTAAGGAGACCTGCTGGTTTGGGGAAGGACCTGAGACAGTCAGAGCAGTTGGGGGAAGAAGAGACTTAGTGTGTTCTGTAGGATCAGCTCTGAGGGGACCTTTTGAGGAAAGGCATGTAGGTCAGCTGGGTGAGGAGGGTCTTGGGTAAGCTGGAGAACAGGGGGTCCCAAGAAGTGCAAAGAGGAGAGGAGCCCCAGCAATAGGGATATAGCTCACTCTGTAGAGTGCTTGCTAGCCTCGCATGCACAAGGCCCTGGGTTCAATCCCTAGCATCACAGAAAAAAAGCTGTTGAGCACTGGGGTTTTGGCTCAGTGGTAGAGAGCTTGCCTAGCACATGTGAGGCATCGGATTCGATCCTCAGCACCACATAAAGATAAAAAATAAAGGTATTCTGTATATCTACAACTAAAACATATTTAAAAAAATAAAAGAGGAGAGGCGCCCAAAATCTCAGGTAACAATAGCCGAGAGAGGAGGATAGGAATGCAACACCCCAAGCAGAAGCAAGGTCCACCTGTCCTCACTGCATGGAACTGCTAGGCCCTGAAGAGAGATGTTGACAAGTCACAAAGGGTCAGGACTTGGCACATCTTGTTGGTTCTACATGGAGACAGAAGGACCGTGGGCTAGAAATCCCTCCTCATCCAGGCTGTGCTGGAGCAGGATCACTGCCCAGTAGAGAACAACCTCACCTTGTCAGACACTCTCAGATTCTTGTCCCAGGCCAGGAATCTTTTGACAACAGGATCTTCTGTGAACAGAACACTGGTGTTAGTTGGGAACCAGAAGGGGCTTCATGGGTGATAGACAACAGAGAGAAGAATAGGACCTCCACTGAAGAAGGTGTGGGATTGGAGTGCAGTAGAGCCCAAAAGAGCCCGATATCCCAGTTGGATAGGAAAAGGACAGGAACATTCCTGGGAAAGCTGCTTTGCCCTGAAACCCCCCAGGGAAACAACTGAGTGAGGATTGGGGTAAGAGATAGACGTCTGTATGACTAAGAACTTGGAGTAAACCGCGAGGGCCCATCATCCTCTGAGAATGCACCACCTCAGAATTAGAGTTTCTATGTTATTTTCTAGTTTGATAGGCACCGCTCAGGGAGGATGAAATCTATTAGAACCACAGTGTCTGCAATCAGTGAGGATAATTGGAATCAAGCTCTGTGATCCCAAGCAGGGTCATTTTTCAGGTGTAATGTAATCATCCATCATCTAAGAGTTTCACAGGGTACAGGGGTCCTGAGTCCTCCAGGAATGGGGATCTCAGGGATAGCAGGGCTCTTTGGAAAAGTGCAGTGGCTGTAAGTTCCTTGTTTGTGTAAAGAGCAGGATTGGAGGGCGCTACCTGGGTGTCTCCCTACCTAGAAGCCTCTTGAAAACCTCATGGTGTTCTGGTTGCACCGAGTTCATGCGCCGTTTTTTGAGTTTCATTTTGAAGCCACACAGTGACTCCACATCCCAGGGGTGATTTAGCTCACTTTCCAGATCCTCCAGCTCATCCTCAGATTCAGTGGAGGACTCTCTCTTTCTCTTTAGGCCAGTGGTCTCAGGCAGGAGGCCAGATTCTACCCAAGGTACTGAATCAAAAATCCCCGGGGAATCATCATCCGAGTCTCCCTCAGATTCTGAGGTCCACTCTCTCTTCCTCGAGGACCGACATGGGAGGCAGGGTTTTACCCACAGAGCTGAGTAAAGGAAGCAGAGTCAGGCTCCTGTATTTGGAACTCATCCTTTCATCCTCTGATCCCAGTTCACCTCCCACACCCCAGACCTTCAACTGTTGCCTTCTTAGCTTGGCTGGTAGCTGTCTTCTCCTTACCATTGTCCCATCTCCCTGTTCCTCAAAACTCTTTCTCATTATGGACACTTTCTCTCATGGGTGGAGTGACCCTTTTTACATCCCCTGTACCCATTTCCTGAACTTAGATCTCATCTTCTAGCCCAATTCCTTTCTCTGCAGATTTTCCATCCATGTGGACTTCCTTGTCCCGTGGCCTATTCTGAACTTCAAAAGTGGGCTTCCCACCTTTCTGGCTGCTCTATCCCTTCCTCCTTACCAGTCATCATGTCAAATCAGTTCTCACTCTAGCTCCCTCACCTGATGGACCTGCCACCTCATCATCTACCACCACCTCCAGGTGGGATTCTGAGGTGCTTGGCAGGGAAGGCGATTGCCCAGACTGGGAGATTTGTTGATCCTCCATAAGTTCTCCAATACTCTTGTCTTCCTTCTACAAAACCTAGGTTCTTATTAAGATAAATCTTTCTCCAGAATTTGGTTGAATAGGAGTCTGTTCGCTCTTCTCCAAACAGGAGAAACCAGGTGAAGAACAGTACTGAGGACAAACTGTTGCCCACTGCACTGCCAGTGGTCAACAGAGTCTGTCCCTTCCAGTCAGGAAGGTTGGAAGCCTCTGATGTCATCGCTTATTGCAACCTGGCAACCAGTTTGAAGGAAAACACCTGCAATTGTCAGACTGGAATGTGCACCTGTCCTAGAGTTCTAGAGGAGATGGTCTCTGCTGCTACTAATCCAAACTCTGTCCACTTTGTCTCTGACCCCTTTTTCACTTCTGTCTAGACATGGGTTCTTCTCTCCATTCTCAACACAACACATGTTAGATACCCAGCCTCTGGGCATTTCCATTTCAGAGTTCAGTGCAGTGGGAGATTAAGGAGTATGGCAAGGAAGAAGGGGGAGGGCAGAAATGACATGACCTCCCAAGAAGGAGCTCAGTATGTACAAAAGAACCCACGTACACTGAATTATCACTTGAAAACCCTAAAAGGAAACACTCAGTTTAGCAAATCTAATCTGCTAAGTGCCACTGGTCTTCACTGTTTTCAGAAATCTGTTAAGGGGACACAGACTCTGCACTTAGGCATGTTTGACACAAGGGTTCCTTTTGAGGTCATAAAATCATAGGAAATTGTACCCATGCTCATGGTTTTCCCAGAGTGTCTACACTTTCTGGGAGTCTATGGATCACCTCAGGTTAGCCTCTCAGTTCCAATCAATCTCTCTCAGTTACATAGCATATTTGGGAGCACAGACATTGCTCTTGACCTGCATATTTCATTATCACCCATGCACCCTATGGAAAGTCTCACATGTAGAAAGAAGAAACAAATGGGAGATTCCCATTGAAGACAGACAATAATATTTGCTGAGAAGATGGGAAGTGCATGGGATGTGACCCAGCACCCAGTGGAACTGGGAAGCTGCTTCCAAACGTCCTAACTCAGCCTTTTGCTTTCTAGCTGGGCATTCAATCCATGTTTTATCTTTCTGTCTACAGAATGTGGTTAAATGTGTAGAAAACTTGCCATGTTAACCATCGTGGTGTGTAGAGGGTGAGTGGTGTCAATTACATGCATGTCTCACTTAATAATGGAGATATATTCCTAAAAATGTGTTATAGGGTGATTCATCATTGTATAAACATCCTGTGGGAGAAATTCATGTATGTGGTGCATTGTTCCATCGTTGGCCATAACGTCATCATGTGGGGCATGAGCTGTATTATCCATCTGGAGAGCTTTTCCATCACCATAAACAGACATTCTTCACCCATGAAGCATTAATTCCCACTTCTCCTTCTACAATTTGGCCATCATTATACTTTCTGTCTCTATGAAATTGAGAACCCTCTGTGTTGAGGACTGTGAACTCATACAGTATGTGTCCCACTGTGTCTGGGTCATTTCACTTTGTGTACTGTCCTCAAGATCCCACATTGCTGGAGAAGGGGTCAGAATTTCCCTCTTTCTTAAGGCTGAATAGCAGAAGAGAAGATAACATCTTTTGTCCATCTGTTTATCCCTCAGTGGGCATTGGGTTGATTCCACATTTAAGCTGCAAAACTTTCTTTTGCCACACTTGGACCTTATCAACAAGATCATGTTTGTTATTCATGCTGTGCTTGAAGTTTTATTTTGCAATTTAATGTCTTACATGATTCTGATGACCCCATTCCAAGCAGGAGTAAATGCAGGTTGATTTGTGTTATCAGCTGAGAGTGAGTGTCCACCTAGTTTTGCAGCCCTGGATGTTCAGAGTTGAATGAGCACCCAGCAGCCTTCCAAGTGACCATGAGTTCCTTGGCAGCTCTCTCTCAGGTCCTGGCTGTCAGGAAGCAGGTCATGTTGCTGTGGAAAACCAATTGCATAGATGCTCCGCTTATTCGATTTCCCCATGATGTCTTTAAGCATCAGAGCTGCTTGGGTTCTCTCATAGCAAATCAGAAGTTCACACTCTCCCTTGT